ACGTCGGAAAGAACCTCCTGGTCTCTGATTAAATCATCAATGTAGGCAGTGAGTGCCTTAATCTGACAAACACTTAGACCCTAGATATGCACGTCCGGTGGCAAACAATTGCATACCTCTAACTGCTCCGGTTTTAGATCAGACAGACCTTTCAGGAGGTCATCGAGGGGTTCAGTTTTGGTATCACCAGAGGACTGTCCTGCCTACAAAAATTCAAAACCTGTCTACTTCTTTACCTTCATTTTCTTCGCAATGGTCTTACTGCATAGGTTCTTTGAGCGGTTTAATTTGTCGTGTTCAGAGCGAGCTAAATCATCACTACACATTCAGACACTCTCCATTACCTTTGCGCCACTGATTGTCTAGGTCAATCACTTCGTCGACAGCCCTAGGATTTTTGTACCGGTTTTCTTGGCTCTTTCTAATTAAATCCGGATCACCGCCCTTATCCGTCCGAAACAGGTCAATAGCAAGAACCATCTCGAGACACGTGAAACCAAACGCCGGCAAAGCAGACACACACCAGCTGTAGTAAATTCAAGTAGCCGCCAATGATTGTCATAGTTTAAATCAATGGAATCATGGCTTTTACCGGGGTTGCTTTAGCGTGGGAAACCTTTGTAATATTTTAGAATGTACTTTAGCATTTCTAATTTTTGTTTATCTGAAAAGTGGTTATTACAGATAATGATAAGCTAAACAGTGTTGTTATTATCTTTAGAAATATGAGGTCTAGTGCTGTCAATGGGATGTCTAATTTTTTCCAACATCTTTTGTTTTCTCTTGAACATTTTTTAAGCAGATAGACATGTAACCAGTCAGAAAGGCTATAGGTATCAGTGTCCTTTTTGATCATTCATCAATGCAATCTGTGTTTATTTACTTAGGAAAACTAAAGACTCCAAAAAATTACAAAAGCTATTTCAGAGATCCAATGTTACACAACCTCAGAAGGAAAATATATTTCTAAGCAGTACTGTAAAATGCATAAGAAATGCTTTCATAACTTAAATGCAAATATACTTTCTTTGACATTTGCCCTCGTTTACCCTAGTATGGATTACAAATCGATGATACCTCGAGATTTAAAACTTGGGGTATCCTGTTAAGGAATATGTCAGACCGAACTAAACTACGCTTTTTATGTATATCGCCAAAATTGAACAATCCCTTCCTAACATTTACAGCTTTCCTTAAAATTAAATATATTAATGACCTGTTGAATCGAGGCTACCTAGACGCCGATATGTATTGAATTCTTAGAACTGAGAAATCTAATGACTCAAATGTCGTTCTTTTTAAACTTTTTTTGTGCCTTTAAATGGTTTACATTAGGCAGTCTTCTAATTAGGCGCAAATGCATTTAAATATACACTTTTTGTTTTAACAATTAAGCTATTTCTGTTACTGTGGCATTGCATTATATCCGTCGCTGCTTACAACTAAAATAGACACCGTAATACCTTTATGTTTATTACATGAAAGTTCATCAAGTAAGTTCACAACAGACATCTGACGGGGCAAGTGACAGGAAAACATTTTAATGTTACTCTTCGTTTTAGATCAAATGTTACAGACAAAAGAAGATTTGGTTAATCGCTGCGATGATTTACATATGACTTTTTTCATAAAGTAACTATAATTCTTACCAATTTTGCCGTGACGTTTATAGTATGCTGTTTCTGATTGTGTTTTTACTTTATGTTTGATGTGTAACGCGCCCCATTCGACCCACGCACGCCGGTCTGGACTGTTCTTTGTCCATCTTTTCCCTCCCGCACTCTCGCCTTTCTCGAGGCACGCCCGTGAGTCTGAGGGTAACGCCGACCCTCCTCGCGGCCATCCCTTTTTCTCGCCCTAATTCTCTCAAAGCTCTAGCCCTCTGAATTTGTTTTCGGTAGGATGGAATACACCCGGTTCTTCCAGTTATCCCTCTATCGTGTGCCTGGTAACTAACCATGATGGTATGGCTAAGAGGGACGAGCTAACAGTTATCTGCCTATTCATGTCTCCGATTGCTAGATGCATTACAAATAAGAATGATTCAACGAATTGAATAACTTTAACATTCAAAAAATATACCTAACCATGGGCTTTTTGCTGATCATTATTAATGGTAATGAATAGCTCCTTATTACTTCTACCAAATGCACAGGCTAATTTTTATAAGTCGTTGCCAATTGATTGCTTCCAGCACTTAATATGTGGTCATAATATTGAGTGACGGTGATGTTAATTAAATTTCTGACTCAGATTTCATGCATTTGTTAATGCACTTCGACAAGACACTCAACACTCCCCTTTCGTCAATTGCATTCCGAAGCAAATACCAAAAATCGCGTAAACCGATCACTAAACCTACTTATTAGTGTTCTGACGTTAGCGAAGCTTATTAAGCTTTTGCCTGAGTCGGACTTAGAACTGAGAGCTGGTGATTTAACTTCGCGTCGTCAAACACACTTGGGTAACCATGACAATTGTCAATTAAACAAACCTCTTCCAAAAACACTAATTATCTTTTGTAATATCTATGTCACTATCATTTTTCTAAAGGTTTCAAATGACATTCAACGCATCAGTAGCCCATTGAAGTCTCAAATGTGTTTTTTGAGGATCTGTCCTAAAATTCTAAATATACAGGAATTCCAATGTTGTACGATTCTCGCATTTAGCCAAGGTGCCGTGATTGCGTCAACCATGATCGAAACACGTGACGTAACCACAGATGTACACAGGCCTCTAGTTCTGAACAATTTAGGCGATTATGAGCATCAATGATCACGGCTGGAACACACGTAGACCTAATCCGAGGTTTTCCTGATACACGTGAGAGCGTGCGTTGTAGCAGAGTGAACGCTATCATTCAGAAATACTGTTACCACCTGGTTTGAAACGCCAGTTTACCTGTTCGAAAGCGAAAACTCAGATACCTAAACGCTCCTCACTTCTGTCCAACGATGTGCAGCCAGCTGCCAACTTCAGACTGCAGTATTCCATCGGACGAATTTTTCCCACTTTTATCAAACTTAGAGTGAAAGTTTGTTGAAATAACCCATCAACAATGCAAAAGCAGTAAAATGACGCGCCATAACAATCATTTTCTATTGGTCTGCAATTGCATTTAAATTTCGCATTCAAGCTTCCATAAGACTATAAGCAAAATTGTAGCAAGCAACGAACGAACACAATTCAATCGATATACCTGAGCGCACTTCACGTAACTATGTTTATTAGGAGATCGATATAAACCGATCCTATATAAACTGACGCCTTGATATCTTGTGCAACTCCGCTATTTCTGTCTGCATCCCTCCACTCTCCAGAGCGGGCACATCGTCGGCCCTGGTGGGGTTCCCAAACTGCCCCGGTGGCAGCAACAGGCTCAATCAATATCAACAATTAATCAACTAACATTTTGTTCGACTTGTGAATTGCTACCGTGTATGATTTTAATTGATCATTCTTGTTATGATTTTTAATAAATTGCAATCACTAGCAGCGTTTGCAAGAGGCAATGAACCACTCCATGGCTAGGACTTAGTCATCGAATTCTGCGCAATAATACGACCACTCAAGCTGCATCCCTGTTCCTTGAAATTAGGCAGATTCATGTGACTTTACGGCGCAAAATTCTGCTCCAGAAAGTGTCAAAATTTGCTTAAACTGTAGTTGATGTTATGGGTGGTTGTTGGGTAGGATTCATTTCCAAAACCTGATTGTTGCCGGGTAATTACAACAAGCAAAGGACATTTCTGCTAGAAGTAAGTAAACAGGAATTGTGGTTGCCGCGGCACAGATTAAAGAATGTGACCCAACCCACACTGAGGCATTTAGATTTCACATGTTTCGTCAGTTCTGCACTCATATTCACGACGTCTGTTGACTGCTGCAGCCACAGAGGTCTGTTCACTATGAATTAGTAGTGTGGCCTTCCACGCTAGAGGCGCGTGCAGTGAATTTCATTACCTTCACGCGTGCAATCATTCGAACGCACAGGTAGCTGTGCGGTCGTCCGTAGTAAACAAGGCCCACCACCCCTCGGATACGTATTCAGCCCCCGAATCAATGTGGCTGTTGCATTTAGGCAGGTTGTATGTCGAAATCACAGGTGCATGAAGACGCTATTTATTGTCCTCCTTGACGTAGGTGTTCTACTCTTGGTCATGCTCCCACGAATGAGTGAGTTGTTTCTGGTTCTGCTTAAACTGTACTTCTCGAATTATTATAACTGATCAAGTTATGGTTGAATACTTGTTTATTGAAATGTGGATCGATCAATTCCAATCACCCACCAAATGCACTCGTGCAATTTCATTCAAAGTAACCATCATTTTCGTTGTTCTTAAGTTGGTTTTTTATTTGGTCGATTGGCATGTGCACATCCACCTCAACCCAATCAAATGCGACTACGCAGGGACAGTGGTGATGGCAATTTGGGTAATCCTACCACAGCGCATTCTCACCACCTCTGAACATGCACGTCAGGCTACCCGCTTGTTCCCAAAATCCCGGTGATTACATTCAGTAAACTTTGGAATTACTTAGTAGTTTAGTTGTTGGAGTTCTGGGTGCGAAAGAGACTCAAAAATTTGGCCAAATAACTAAATGGATTAACTCCAATATCAGTAGGCGGTTCTCTCTCAGGAAATGCGCAGTTCTGACCAAAATGGACAAGGCTGTAGAACCAAACACGGAGCGTAGTACTCTTCAAAGTCTATTGCCCCTTCGCTGCCTTCACTGCCAATAAACGTCGTGTTCAGAAAATGCCCACGAGGGTACCCGAGTCATTATATGGCTCGATTGATTTTGGGGTTTTGAGGATAAAACTTGTGTGGGTGTTGACAAACCACCTCCACTAATCTGGGTGGGAAAGGAGGACGGCGCAAAATTGAGGGAAGATTGCCAGTCGTGAACGTTTAAGCGGCGAGTTCAGTTAGGGATGTAGCAGTAAATCTCAGTAGAATTTTCGAAACTAGACGAGAAGCCGAGGCAAGAACTACTTTTGTTTCAGCTGTGATGCCAATAGTTCGAGGTGCCGACAACCAGTTTGTGTGGTCCTTTATGCACACACTTACTTAAGGACAAACCATGGCCCGATTTATCTTCCTTGACTTCCGTGATAGAGAAGAAGACCGGAGAGGACGTGCACACAACCGTTTACTTCAGAGCTCAACCACGTTGGTGTCGTTGTGTAGTGGGTGGCGTTTGCGCGTGTGCATTTATACCTCAGATGTGTGAGTCATGGATGCACTAACATCGAGACCTAGGTGTGAAGATAATCTAGGATAATCGTTCACGTTAATGAGGGGAGAGTTGAGGATCCGCGTGGCTGGCGACATGCTACGAAAAGGAGAATCCTGTGTGACTGTATTGACGGGTGTGAGTCAACGCTATTCTCAACAGAGATTTAAAAGTTCGTGACAAATGTCAAACTGTCTCATTTAAAAACGCTCCTTCCGGCAAAAGCACGTGATTTCGGACGCAACATACCCTCTAATCGCACCTTACGCGCATTACTTCGCCTCGCCTATTCCGCGTCTAAACAATGCTTGTTTATAAAACTTTGATTTCTCCGTACAGATAAGCACACCGATGTCGACCACGTCAAACACAACTCCATCCACCTAGAACAGCAAACATCACGTGACACTGCGTGCATTACAAGAAAGTCTTCCTCAAAGATATGCCTACCGAACGAAGACATTCAAATTGGCGCCTACCTAGTTATGAAGAACAGTAAAACAATTGGTTTTAATGAAAGTAACATAGGGGATGTTGTAATAGGCTTAAACAAAGTGTGCATGACAATGAGGTGGATCAACGGAGATAGATATTTTTACAGAGTTTGCGGTTTTTTATGAAAAGAAATCATGCGTAGTGGTATGAATACTGATCTTTGCTATCCGACCACATCACACTTCCATTGCTTGTCACACTCTGGTGGGAATTCAGTGGACAAAAAATGGATTCGCATGAAAATCACACCCACAATCACATTTTAATTCCCATTTTTTCCGTTGAAGCCTTGGGTTTGGCGTGCTACTCGTGTGTTTCGGTGAGCGGGAGCAACCGGGAGTGCGAGGACCCGATGCACGGCTCGGTGCACGTTGAGGCGCCGTGTCGACAGGGCCAGCCCGGCCACGAGGGTCTGGGCTACGCGCGCTACTGCGTCAAGATCAAGGGTCGTCGAGTGGCCGACGGCCAGCAGATCTACATCCGACGCTGCTCCATGCAAAAACTCGGCGGCATAAACACGCACTGCGGACAGTTCCGGCTGTCGGACGAGCTCTACCGCGGGTGCATTGCCACGTGCACGCAAAACTGGTGTAACGCCGTCCAGCCTGCGCCCAAACCCACCTTTCTTGCAACGCTTTTATCACTCACACTTCTAGCTCTACGCCCCTGATTTAACCCAGTTTACTCGTCTGTCCGTTTTACACGATTGCACCGGCTCACGAGATCTTCTTATTAAGTGCCTATTTTTACTGCTTAAAAATGACAATCTTCTTAAATCCATCCAGGTTCACTGACACCGGGTGCGTTTGGTGGGGACAAAACCTTGAATTGAGAATTAAATAAACTCCGTACTTGTGGGTAAATAGGCAGAGACATCTCTGCCTCCACATACGAACTCATGAGCTGTTAGTTTATTGGACAGAGAAGCTTGAAAATGTGATTCCGTTTCATGAAGTTCTACAGATTATGGTGTTGAGAACAGCAAAGTTACAGAGAAAGCAGATCATGCTAAAATGTCTATGATTCACATTGTCAGCAGTTTTAAAAAAAGATGAAATTTTTCAGGATTTAAAGCAGAAATTAATGCGACTTACGGGGATAAAACTACGTAAGGAAAAAAGGAATTAGGCTGCTCAATGGGATACTGACAACCGTTTTGTTTTTGTTTAAATGCAGTCTGTTGAGATAGGCTAATGATGATAGCTGCAAATAATGAAGCTTTAGTATAAGAGACATATATCAACTTGCAATTATGTATATTTTCTTCAGGTCCTGGGTAGTTGTAAGCCTTTAAACCACAAAAACGCTGTACCTCGTGCCAATTTGGTTTACGTTCATTCCTTTTAAATCACCCAATTACAAGCTGTGGATGCCTTTATCCAATAAAACGAAAATCAAATCTTTGTTGCAAGTTTTTTTTACCAACAGCGCTAAATTTTTGTACTGTCCGACACTAACACTATTTGATTCGAACCGCAAATAAACGACCTGGGCAACTCGAAAATTGAAAATAAAATCGCTGTTTAAGTTATTTTACAATAAAGCGACACCGATCGGGAAATTGGAATCCGAAATATCGCTGAGCAACCAGGTTCCACGCGTAAAACCCGAAGAGAGGGAGAACTGGTATATTATATTCAGAGTTACCAGTAGATACCAATACGTGGATCTAGAGCATCGACACATTGATATTACACAAGGTTAAAAAAAATTATTAACGCGTTCACGCGATTCTAGAAACACTCGTATGCGTAAAATTTCCACGAAATCATGATATTAACTTCAAAACGAGCTCCAAAACTGTTCTCAACTTATCAATACACTTATTAAAGCATTGCACTTCCAATATTCCCCACGTTTAAAAGCCAATCACTTTCGTGACATGAATGGTTCACAAGGAGGAGTGAGGACGAGCGTTTTTGCGAAGAAAGGAGCACCCTTTCCGCGTTCCAAGATTGGCTAGCAAGCTTAACACAGTAGACAAATGAAGTGATTGATTTAATGATTTGTACCTGACAACGAATGAAGTAGATTCCATGTATTCAAACGTACACGAGGTTTGGTCTTTTATTAAAGTCCTCCTGCTGGTCGATAGGCTGATCTTTTTTAACGACTGGCCCAAGATCGCAGTCGCCAACGTTTGTCACTAGCATCAAGCAGCCTGTGCTTGCGGGTTTTTTAAAGGCAGGTCATCTGAGAGCAACTTCAGGCTACTAAAATCCGTTTGATCCTTTTCAGTAATGTGAGCAAAATTAATTTGTTCGGAGTTTTTAAAGGATTATTTGGGACCTGTGAGTGAATACAGATACTAAAACTATTCAAAATATAAAAATGAAACCGTTGAAAATGAATGAGCAATGCTGGTGAGGTGTGAGTTTGTACACGCTACAATGCAAAAGCATTGTTTTTAATGTAGATTAAAAATTTTGCGCATGATCCGAGAAAGATGTAAATGACCCCAGAGTTAATAATTCATTAAGTCAGTCTCTTTGAGTTAGTTGACAAGTAAAACCAAATTCATTCCACCTAATTTGATTGCCTTCTAAAATTACTATGTTGAAATAAAAGCCTGCTATCATTTCATTTAGAATCCTAAATCAATTTAAGTAGAGCTTTACTATTTTAAACATCATTAACGGAGATCTGCAGCGTCTGAATTGCAGTTTATGCTTAAATTCCTGGAAACGTTGACATTTGTCAAGAATAGTTTCCACGTTTGAATTAACATTTCACTGCTTTTCAATATCCTGCTTGTGGAGGGTCTTATTTTTTCATTATGGTAGCAAAGAAATTTTCACAGATACTATACAAATTTGTTTGGCTTAAGCCAATACTTGAAAGGGCCAAATCTCGTTTAATTCAAAAAATGCCTCAAGCAAATGACGATGAAACATAGTTATTGTTGAAATAGATGTAACCTATGATGTTTACTTCTACTTAATTCCTGTGGCATCCTTTAGCTACTTAAATCCCTAAAAGTATGCATATCAATAAAGAATCACAAATTTGTAGTCTGCTTCAGATATTTGTAAATCATCGATCCATTTGGAAGTTAACGGCCAAAAATGAAATTTTCGAAACATTTTCCTTATTTTTTCACAAGTTATGTGAAAAATAATTTAGAACATTGACCCAACAAAACCCTTGTATTTGAATAAGCCTAATGGGTAGTGCTGCTTTCAAAATCGTTTGGGAATGTCGTCTCGCATTCCCTTTAAAAATGATGGGAGCTTTATGGAGCTTTTCCAACAGCTTCAAGGTATAAATTTTTTTGTGGAATTTATTTTATGTACCCTAGCTGAACAGGACCGGGCTAATCTTGAAAATCGTACTTCAATACCTAATTCATCGAGGGTTTGATGATCTTTTTTTTATATTTTTGCTTAGACTAATGTGAACTCAACATCAATACTGGACGCGTAAGCTTTCTTTTTACTGTTATTGTTTTAGACCTTTCTCTTTGAACCCAATCCTACCTAAAGGTAGACGTTTTGTGTTATGTGCTGCTTTACGATAACAGTTACATGCCGGCCTAATCCTAGTATTTCCAGTCTTTCCTCCCGAGGACCAGAAAGTTGTTATTGCAATTGAAAGTTTGATTATGCGTCTTGCTGGCATGCCTCTATCGTTGGCGAGGTTAGAGATAGCAAAATTCGAAGATAGTGTACAATACTGGTGCGAGTTTTACGTTAATGTTACTGGCCAGGTTCCTTACCGTCCCAAAGACAAGTGAGTACAAATACTTTCAAAAAAGATTGCAAGAAGAGATTATTAAAAAGTCAAAAGCCTCCGTTAAAGGTATTTCGTTTCTTCCTTTAATTGGTCGTTTGCAGATGAAGAAATTGAAGCAAGCAAAGTTGAATATAAACTTTCTGATATTGAGCTTCCCCCTGAAAAACCGCAACCAAAAATCGACCAGAATAAGATCAAACCAGAAGCCCCACCAGCCCTAAAACTCGAGGACTCTGCCGTCCCAGTAAAATCAGAGGAGCCTGCCGCTCCTCCTCCACGAAAGAGAAAATCTAGGTGGGATTCCGAACAGCCCGCAAATCCTGAAAACAGTTCCGAGCTCACGCATGAGGATGTTCTAGCCTCTGCTATTGCGGCTGCAAAAGCTGCCGCGCAATTGGCTGCGTCCGGTTAGTGCATGCGCTGGTCATAATTGTTCCCTATTCTATCAGTATTATCCTCCCTTCCATGACTTAATCAGAGTACTATACATTTTTGTTCTGAATGATTCCTTACACTTAAAAATTCTTTTACGATCCGTTTTTGCCTTTTCTGTAAGGCACGGCCGTCGCACGACAGTTCACTGGTGGAGCAGTCCTTAGTGATGAACAAATCAAACAAATTCAGTACCAGAAGGAGGTAACTTTTCGAGTTTTTGGGTTGTTGTTTGTTTCAGTGTCTGACTGTTTGCTTTCCCACAATCAGCTTCAAGCAATGCACGAATTCATATTAGCCCAACAGCGGCTGAAAATGCAGGAGCAGCAGCTTATGGATTCCATCGAAGGTGTGAAGTACACTAAAGCGCCTAAGGTTAACAAGGACGGGCTGGTAATCAAGTACGAATATGACTCCGACGAGGACTGTGAAGGTGGAACGTGGGAGCACAAGCTCAGAGCCTCTGAAATGGAGGCCACGCGAGGTTTGTGGTTGCGCTGTTAAAATATTCCTTGGTTCCTCATGTCCCCTGGCTCATTCGTCGCCTTTTTCAGAGTGGGCCGAGAAGCTAACCGAGATGGGACAAGGCAAACACCACATTGGTGACTTCCTTCCGCCAGATGAGTTGGACCGGTTTATGGAAACTTATCACGTGTGTTATTTTCTTTGATTAGTGGATTAATTTGCCGTCGTTATGTTTACACTTATTCTCATTCCAAGGCCTTGAAAGAGGGTCGCGAACCCGATCACAGTGAATACAAGCGGTTCAAGCTTACCTGCGAAAACGTCGGCTTCCAGATGCTGGAGAAAATGGGCTGGAAAGAAGGAGAGGGCCTGGGAGCTTCTGGTCAGGGCATCATCAATCCAGTGGGCAAGTAGGTTTTGAATTCCTTTAGCCACCTTGTTGCTATGGGGAGAAGGTTGACAAAAGCAGAGGTAATACTTTGCAGTAATCGCTTCAAGTTGAAATCATTTCTAGTCCTTGCTAAGGCAAATTTCCACTATGGGAGTTTGGTTATGTTCGCCTTGTTCGTTTTACTTCACTCATTACAGACACGGTCTATGGCCAGCTGTCACTTGTGGTCTGTCTGTAATAAAGTCACACTTGAAGTGAACAGCATTCAGTCCTGGACGCTTATTCACCAATGAATTTAGCGAACTCTGGTCTAGCTGAATTCACTACCTAGCTTGTAATGCTTGTTTTCCTAAAAGGGGCAACGTTCATGTGGACGGCGTTGGGCTTGGTGTTGAGCGTCCGGCAAACTTGACTGTAAATGATGACGAGTTCGAGGCATACCGTAAGCGCATGATGCTCGCCTACCGATTCCGCCCCAATCCGCTGGTAAGTTTGCTCATCATATTCGTGTTTTACGTCACACAACGTCTGCCATTGGTCAGATGCCTATGTGCACTTAAATGCCTATTCGTGTGTTCGATGGGATATGTAATTGCTGTGGTGACGCCACTCATGGTGTCTCAGGCTAAAATCCCTTTTTTTAATTTTGCATAGTTGCCAATCTCGTTAACGCGGTTACTGGTTCGTGCTCACGTTGCCAACTCACACATAGTCAAGCAAACTTGATTTCTACTCAATTCTTGAGCAATTTTAAGGACTATTTTTGAGCCAAACCGTAATTTAAAATCTGGGACGTTAGTAGCTTCCGAAGTGGGTTTCAGGAGAGTAATACTCGTGTCCTTGTTGGAAGCCTCGCGTTTTGGTTGGCTACTAGTTCTATCCAAGACGTGCCAATTGTCATTACTGTACCATCTGATTTGTCAGCCGTTGTGCTTCCATTTAAACCGCGTGCAATCAAAACGGGCGGAAACGGTACACAATTTTTTTTCCATTTTAGAATAACCCGCGTCGAGATTACTACTAGCAATGTCCTGGTGGCTTCTTTTTTTTATCAAGACTACTCCCTTCCGTGTACTCCTGTTAAAAGATATCAATTTATTGGTGTCTCCTGTGAATATCCTTTGTTATCTATAATATAATTGTAAACCGGTCGCATCCTAGTCTTTTTGTGCTGTCAAGTGTTAGTGCACATCTCTTGTATTCCATCGATCGATTTCAATCAGCAGTAACCAGTTCTCTTTTATACCCACGGTGGTCAGTAGGTCGCATTCCTGTTTTATTGTCGTCTGCGTAGTTGCAATAAGTTCCATACTTGGCAAACCAAAAGTCCAATGAGCTCCGTGTGAAGCTGCGGTCTTCTGTGATCCTAGTGGCGTGGTTGCTTGCTTGAATGGATAGTGTCTGATGTCCGTTTTAGCTCGCAGTGGTGGTTTAACGCCCAATTAAGGCCACCCCCGCATGTCCACTCCTTCGAAAACAGAGTCGATGAAATCACTTCCCCGCACACTTTCTTTTTACCGCGAGTGATTGGATGAATGTGTGATTATTGTTACCTTCGGCACAACTTACCCGAATGCAACCATTGTTTTAGCCGTCATGTCGGATGTCCAAAGCCAAACCACTGACAGCCGGATGCCTCCATCAACCGGACAGTATAGTTGCCTGAAGTGCAAAAAGCCCATACTTCTTTCTCCTGACTTGGAAAATCTCCGCAACTCTGACCTCTCGTTCATTCTAGGTGCGTATTTGTTGTTGTCACTGCCCTTTATTGTCAAGTAATAACGAAACGTCAAGTCGTTAGTTCTCTTCTCAACCATTGTTCACGACTTATCGTGTTTCCACCTAGTTTTCTCTCCCGTTTTGCGAGAAAATCGAGGTTGTAGTTGAATTTCATGCCACGCAGTTCGTTAGAAAGTGTTCGGTGGTAATCTAACAGGCCTAGTTGGGGCTGGTTGGGCGCTGCCCGAAGAGCTGTGTAGAGACGACGGTCGATTGTCTGATTCCACCTCCTCACTGTGAGTCGCCAGTGACAGTGCATGGTTTTTGTTCCTGTGAGGCGCCGAGGTTGTCGGCTTCCAGTTCGCCCATGCGACGTCCACACTTCCGCTCTTTGAACTTCGTCCACTGCCTCCATGTGGTTAGAAATGATCTTCTAGTGGCATTCAACTGCTCAATCAGTACCTTCGGGGTTTGGCATCCAATTTTTCTTAATTGCCCGCTCTTTATAAAGTGTGTGCCGCTCGTTTTTCTCCGTAAGCTGAGTTCGTGGTCTTAGAAATTCGGCCGTGCGATTTCGAAAAATGCCGGTTCCATCTATTTGAGACTCAGAAGGATAATCTCTAAGAGGGTGAAATGGCTGCAAACAAGGCCACATTTCCAGTTTTTGTGTTTGGGTGTCCACGTGATTCGACTTTGCTTGCCTTTTTTGCTAGTCTGTTGTTGTTTAAGCACCATTCCGATCATGTGGACAGTTCGTTCGACGTGTGCGGGCAATGTCACTAACTTCAATGCTTCCAGTGTGTGTAGCTGGACAGTAGTCCATTTACTACTGGGCAAAAACTTTAACAATTAGTTTAATAAGTAGCAGTGACACAATGAGGCAACGCCTTGTGTAGTCATATAATCTAATATGTCCCATGCTCTAATGGTTTAATCTCTTCAACTGTTATTTGTTGCTGCTCAACAAAGTTCCAACTTTCAGGTAAATCGGCACCTTGCGGTACTAAACGAACCGATGCATCCGGAGTAGGTGTAGATTTTGGCTTTCAAAGCGTTATTAAAAACCAACAGAACTTGTCTGTGCGTATGTACTTTTCGTTCGGAAGCGTGAATCACGTGTTAACGAAGGTTACTAGCGGGGTTTGTTTCTGCACTCAAGGACACGGTAATAGGGCTTCATGGTTCGGCCTAGGGTCTGTGTGTGGAGGGGGAAGGCTGAGGGTCAGAGGATGTTGGACTCGCTCAAGCGTGAAGTGTGTGGTGGTTGTGAATCCCCAAGACACATTGACGTCCATCCCTTCTGGATTTGTTTTTGTGGCGTGAATGTTTGTGCCCGCGAGATTTCTAAGCAGATTTAATCGACCTTCTGCTTCATAAACCCCCATACAACTGTTTCAATCTTGTTTTTTTTTACAGGCAATGAATACGACTCGTAAGTTAGACATTTTCACTCCCTCGGTTACCGTGGCTTTGATGAAAACTATGCCACGTCCTACGTGAGTGCATTTGTTATTTATTAATTGAATATTTTCTTCTTGTAGCCTGTTACCTTCTCCAAAATTGACCGCCTCCACCTCTAGCATCAACCATCGACTTCAGGTAGTTAATGGATAGAAGTCCCTATCCATTAAGAACTTAATCGGTTGTATCTGTCAAGATAATTGAAATCAATCATGGATACCACAGCATGTACCCCGCTACGTGCGATAACACAACAAGGAATCAACTTACATGTTCTGATCAGTTATCGTTTGGAGTGAGTGAGTGAATCATCGTCGCATAACTCGCCTCTGTAATGGTTAAAACGGACGACGCGATGGTAGATACGTGGACTTGAACAAGGCTCTTAACGATTTGGCTTTTAAAAAAAACATCTTGAAAATGGGATTTGGATAGTCGAGTCTAGTCGCCTTGCTATTTCGAGTACTTGGTCATTTGTTGTTTACGTAACTGTGCTCAGGAAGAAGTGCCTTATCATGACGCGTGTGGATGTGGGCTGTGGGCATTCGCCATGTAGATAGCCAATAGCATTCTGTTTAAATTTGCAGCTCATTCGAAGCAGCCATGGCTAAACTCCAGTTGTAGCCCTCTGGCCCACCTACTCGATGAACCCTAATTGTATTCACCTAGCCCAAGTTACCATCTTTCAGCTTTAAAAGCACGCTGCATTTTCTACATTCTATGTGTATTCCTGCGTCCGCTAACCACGCCAATCCGTCAGAACCAAAGATTTGTCCTCCCCGCAGCATTTGCCCTCTGTACGCGCAACTTTCACATTTCGGCGCATCAAGTTTGCCTCATGTTGCGCACATTCTATGCGTTTTTCGTCGCCTTCAGTAAGCACCGGCAATCTTCCACGTTGCCGCTCGATTGCACCGCTTAAAGCGCGGGGGAGGGGTAATGTTGTAGGCGCCTGTGCGGTTTGGGATGGCGTCTGGTATTCCACCACTCATAAATCAGTACTTTGATGGGGTTTTGTTGTTAATTTGTTGACTCACCTCTAAACCCAGGTGAACGCCTACCTATTCGATGTTCTCAGTGGTCGTACTGAGGCCAACCACCCAATGTGTCAAGAGTGCGCTGACGTCCTGGTTAATGCTCAACATCAGTTGTTAGAATTCCAGAAGGAGGAGATTGCCAGTCTTGAGTGAGTCTAGCCTCTTTTGAACAAATTTTTGACCTTGAAAACTATGCCATGTCTAACATTGTCCACCCCCTCCACAGAACATTTCTCGCCCAGTTAAAATCACTCCCTTTGGGGTCGAATGAGGTAGACGAAGCCTCGGCTTCCTCCGATGAAGTGTTTTCTGCTTCTCCTGAGTCTGGACAAGAGCTCCAGCAAGCATCGTCAGATCTCGTGTCTCCAGGCCTCGAACAATCGTCACACTCGAACCACAACTCTCCACAGGCCTCGTCAGAGCCCTGCATCTCGTTGAATGTTGAAACCTCGGACGCGTTAGCCGGGGGGACCAACCGCCCTGTGCCCACTTTCCGATGCAGCACCGACGGCAACTCGGTGACTGGAAATGAGGACTTCGACGCGGCAACCAACTCGCAGCTGACCAAGGTTCACGAAGAGTTGCTTTCCCTGCAGCGGGAACTCTCCAGCCTTCAACAGGAGTCTCGTATTCTTGACAAACAAATTGCCATGGATACTAAGGAGTTGCAACGTCGGCAGGAGGAGTTGGATAGGTGCGTTGGACTTTGTTATCAGCTTGACATTTTTACATCACTGAAAATGTCCACGTAGCTACTGTTAGACTCGCTTCTTAAATGGTATTTTCCAGTTTCTAAGCGCAATGTGATGTGCTGGGACTTTGTGGCGCGTTGGAGACAAAATTTCCCTCCCCCCTTTAATTTTTTTTATTAGACTGCTTTGCTTTGTGTGTAGCTTGTTAAATTTGTTGCTGCTTAAATGGATTTCGGTAAATATATTTATTCAAACGTTCTAGTTGCCAAGACACCTCAGCACAGAATTGACAGGTAGCGATCTCTGAAACACTGAGACATTTTTTCGGCCGTAAAACAAACTTTGGTTTGGAGCTTTGGAGGCCCCAGCGTACGGTCTTGAACCACAAAGTGTAGCGACTGGCGAAAGGATTAAACACCCAACACACGACCAGAGTTGAGGACGCAGTTAGAGGAAAGGTGAACACGATCTCTGGACACTGGCGAGTGCAGGAGACGAAGCCAGCGAACACCGAATCGAGACGATGTTGGAAGTTGGACTGTGGAGTCCATCTTCACCGCAGTGCTGTTCCACCTAATTCCTAGAACAGTGATTTGTGTAGGTGGATCTAGATTGGAACCCTAGGTCGAGATGTAAAACCAGTTCAAGACTCCGAATTCCAGAATGGTCATCTATCACATGCAGGTCGATCTTCTAGTCCTGTCTTCGTGCTTTCAAAATCAAATCCTTAACTTAGTCGAGTACACAGCCTCGTTCGTTCCGTTTACCTAGCATTTTGTTGTAACTACCCACGTTTGCCTTTCGCCTTAGAATCAACAACGAGTATAACGAAAAACGCCTGATGCTGTTTGAGGTGGAGGAGGCCCTGGCGGTGCTTGAGGCGCGCTTCGAAGACGCTCGCTACCAGTATGATCGACTTCGTCAGACCAATGTCCTCAACGCCGCCTTCCCCATCTGGTACGACGGGCACATTGGCATCATCAACGGCCTTCATTTGGGACGTCTGCCCAACAAGCCGGTGAGTTTTCAGCTGCGTCGTGCCGTTCGCCCCTTTAAATCACGTGGTGTGTTTTTCACCTCCCCGTCCAATCACGTGGCTGTGCGTTGTGACCTCAAATTTCATCGTGCACGGTAAATTGCGCTTTCTAGCTCGTGTACTATTAAGTGTCCTGGGATTACGACCACAAAACCAACTTTCCATCCCACGTTAACATTGCTTCTTTATGTTCGCGTTTGGGAAAGACAAGAGACGCCCGCATCTGTAGCGGATGGGTGAACCCTGCTTACTGACCTGACGATCACAATGACTCATCCCCCTTTCCATTGGTTACTTTTCTCGGGTTGATACGAGCTGTTAACTCCATAAGAGTGTGTGTTTTGCGCCTCCTCGGTGTATTTTCACTATGTTGAATTTCGTGATTATGAGTTCATTGATGAAAATATCAAGTATCAGCAAATTTATTTATTATGGAAAATAGATAACAGCGAACTAGATCTTGGAAATATCGTCCCACGTCTTCCATGACCTTGCGCTGTGCGTCCGGTAACGTACGGAGGCCGTCGTGAAAGAAACTTGTAGGCTTCGAGACAATGAAGTCATCCGCAAGAAGTCCATTCACTGCTTGTTGCTGGTGGCCAAGCAGTGAAAGCATGTATTCAGATGTTGACCTAGATTGTGTGCGGAAAACCAAGTTCCAAGTTTTCGCATTTTCCCCACTCGGTGCAAACGCTTAGAAATGGGTGTTTCGATGACTCCTAACTGAGCCGCTGCAAGCTCTTTTAGCACTTCGAAAACGTTTGTGCCGGTAATTGCACGTTTCCCCAAACACAACGTTGGCACCAAGAACACCACAAATTAATTTCCGTACTACAGAAGCACTTTTTCCCTCTTGTTGGAATTCGTATAAAGTGCAATGCCGTCGAATGTACTGTTTACCAGTTGCCATCGTGAATTCTGCTATTGTGAGAGGTTATGTAACCCACGTAGACTTGTTAACGATCACAAAAAAACTCCCTTCTCTGTTAGCATCGGGTCATTTAATTTTTCTAATTTCGTTCAGGCTGCCATGAACAAAATTAACCTATCATGAACCCACTTTATAATCCCACTAGTGCTCCCTTCTGTATCAGTTTCTGATTTACCTAATATCGATTTTATGCCAATCCCACTGGGCCAGTCCAGGGACTGAGTGGTGGGCTTTTACACATCCGATTTCCCTTTGATTCAGATCGGCTGGCCGGAGATAAACGGTGCCCTGGGGCAGTGTGCCATGCTTGTGACGTGCTTGGCGAAGAAGCTATCCCACGCCTTCAGGAAGTTCGTCTCGCTGTTTAATTACACCCAGGTCGGGCCGGCAGGTGCATCATCGAGCCTTTTGCCTTTTTCAGCTGCGTGATAATTCCGATGGGAAATCAGTCGAAAATCGCCGCTCTGCCCAACGGTAGTCCACTGCCCCTTTACAACTCGACTAGCGCTGTGTGGAAGTTTACTAGTAGTAGGTGAGGCTTTGGGTCGATGTAATCACCCTCGTAGCCGCACCATTTCCTTATTGCATATTTTCCCGCAGGCATCAGATGAAGATGTCATCTATTGTGAATATCTGTCCTTGTCAAATGCTTATTTAACTTTCTGCTGGTAGGAGCTAAACGATTTTCTGGGCCCGTTTTCGACAGAGTAGAAGCATTCTCCTCTTCAAGATTGCTGTTTTTAATCTCTTCAATCACAACAGTCAGTCAATTAGGGCCAATTAACATGCCTCAGCCGTGTACTCTTGTCACAAGGTCATTGAGTTCCCATGACATCGCCTCTTCGCTCACTTCTAACACGGAAACAAAAGAAACGGTTTCTAGGTGGACCTCATTTTGAAGGACTAACTATAGTGTTGAATGTGGAGGCCCTGTGCGTGTAAAGGCAGGTGTCCGAATGCCAACACTTAGATTGAATTAGTAAGATGTTGAAACTGACAGTTGCCGGTGACGTCCTGTTTTCTACTTGACGTTTGGTGCTCCTGAAATGTCACATTTTATGCCTCCTTTTAGCTTCGACAATGCAATGGGCATGTTCCTGGACTGCGTCGGCCAGCTGCAGGCGCTCGTCGAGCGACAGCCGGACTTCAGCTTGCCGTTCAAGATCCTCGACAATGGCCGAATCCAGGACAGGAACGGATCCATCTTCTCTGTAAAGCAAGTTCCCATTATTTGAAGTGGTGTGCGTTTTATCTACCGTTTCACGAAATTCCAGCACCCTTGGCGTGGAAGCGCTAGGTTAGGGTCGCATCGAAGATAGGCCAAGATAACACCAGCATCAAATCCAGGCACCAAAGCACACACTGCGCGTGAGTAACGCGCAATTTCGCGCTCAACCCTGCTCAAGATCGCTCACCCGCGTGCCATCGACAGCTGTGGCGACGCAGCATCACAGAGACTGCTGCTTGCTGCGACAATGTTTAATTTGGTGGCTTTAAGGAAATGGAGAATGGTATTCTACGCATTGTTAACTTCATGTTTTTCTTCCACCAGATGCGCCGGCAACACCGACGAGAACTGGACCAAAGCACTGAAGATGTTGCTCATCGATCTCAAGTACCTCATTGCCGCCACCTGCGGCCGATCCCGCTCCACCACCCCGGAAACCACCTCTCAACGCACCCCCTAACAACCTGCTATCGCTTGATTAGACTTGCTTTGTGTACATAAACCCCATTCTATCGCATTTATTTTTGTTGACGGTAGTCGCTCACAGTTGCTGTGGGAACAGTTAGTTTTGTGACGCAATCATTTCGCACACCAGCCCTGTCGTCTTTTAAAAGTTGCGATGAAGGCACCATCGATTGGGAGTTTATACAGGGATTTAGACAGGGATAAAAACAATTAACAGAATCAAAGTTAACCATAGTTGTTTGTGGTCGCGTTCAAGTCATGTGAATACGAGTAACCGTCAATATCAATCAGCAAAAAAGACGAGTGCACAGCCGGAGATTTCAAGGACGGCGGTGAGCAGTTTGTGTGCGCGCATGCATTTTGTAGAAAACTAAATACTGTACAATCCGAGCCGCACTGGGCATGAAGGCACCAGGTTGCGTCGCCTCAGTGCTGCTGCAGAATCGGACACGACTTGGTGGGGGTGGAAAGGAAGACTCGTGACTCGCCAGCATCACTGTCGAGGGTCTTTGGGCCGGTGGCGGCGGGATCGATAACGAGTGGGCCGCCTCCGTCAAACTCGCTCTCGGATTCGTCGGAGGGAGGTGCAGCTGGAAGACCATTGGTTGGGGTTGGCGTCTTCTGGCTCTCCGGCGCTTCTGCCACCTCACTCCTTGCGCTCTTGGGACGCGCTTTTCGTGGGACTTTGAGCGGCGCGGAAGACTTGGCCGTGGCGTCTGAGCTTGCCCCCTCCTCATCACCACTAACATCTTCGTCAGATGGAGGGGGCTGGGCTGCGCGTTCTTGAGCTGCCTCGCGGGCATCCTCCACAGCCTGTTTGTACGCCCCGCGCTTTTTAACCCGTCGCTTGTCCACCTTTCTGTCATAGTAGGCAAGGAAGGGCAGGAGTTTGTCGCAGGGGAAGTAGGAGACCTGGTCCCAGGCAAACCAGCGCACACAGGCGTCGCAGGAAGCGTCGGATCGACGGAGACTGGTTATGCGCGCAGGCCACCACGGCCAGCCGGCCAACTTGCACCAGACGACATCGCCGACACGGAACACCGTCGAGGGTGTCTCGGGAAGTCGATAGCACTTGACAAGACGCTCGTCGGCCCCTAGAGGCGGCTGCGTGTGAGGTGAGGGAATCCGAGAGTCCCCGGATTGTGATTGAGAGGGTGTCACCATTGGCGACAATTCTGCATTTGATGTTTCCTTTGGAGGTGAAGGAGGGGGCGGTTTCTGAGAGGGCAGCAGTGGAGGAGTGGCAACTGCTTCGGACAAATCGTTGAGCATAACTTGCACCTACAAATGCAGAGCATGAAAGAGATGAATTTGCGACCGTTTTTGGTTGACTTTGGCAGCCTTAGCTTAGGTATGGTCCGTGTTTACTTCACTCGACGCATACGCTGGAGATTACTGTTTTGCAGCCAAAAAACCAGCAGATTTTTTGTGTGAGTATCGATCCAGCCATGGCCTAGCGCCCTTTCGTCAATACGAGTTAACTAACCTGGTACTCATTTACCGAGTCCGAACCCTTCCCTTGATCACTGTTGCTGCCTTCGCCATTACTCGACAAGACGCATCGATTGATTTTGATCTTAATCGGAGGCAGGGGGGGCGTAACTGCGGAGGGGACGCGTGGTGACGGTGCAGGTTCCGCCTTCTCGGGCACATCAACTCGTTCAACTCCAACACTGGTTGTCGCAGCGGGGGAACACGGTGACTCTGTGCTGGCGCCATTAACACCTTTTCCTTCCGAGTCTCGCTCAGCGCGAATGCTTCGGCTCTTGGACTTTTTGTGTGGCCTTTGAGGACGAAACGGAGAGCTAGAATGGGGGCATGGAGCCTTTGCTGGAGGTACAATGCTCACCGCATCAGAGGACTTCGGTGAGATAATGGTAGCTCGTGCGGATTGTAATAACGAAGCTGATTGGGCCTTAATCTTGTCTTTTGGGGGGCGAACAGCCGGTACCTCCTCCTTACGTTTTTTGAGGTGATTTTGAATTGGGGATGGGGTGTGTGTGAAATCGGGTAGGCATTCGGCCTTTTTCTTTGCAGCCGACAACTCGTCAACCTGTTTCCGTTTTTTCGATTTCGGTGGCTCCGTCGAAGTTTCGTCTTCCGCGACAGGTCGCTGCTTCTTCAGAGATGTCGACGGCTTAGCTGGTGGCGCAGCATCAGGTCGCTCTTTCCGCTTGGCCGGCTTTGAGGAGGATGAATGCCGATGATTGGTGGAGGGAGTTTCTTGGGTTGTGGCGGGAGGGGAGAGGGCTTTCCTGCATTTGCGGCAGATAAAGTTTCCGATTGAGCAGCGGGGTAGATTGGGGGCGCGAATGACGGCGCGGGGTTGTGGAGGTGGGGTAGGAAGAGAGGATGTTGGCAGCAGACTGGTGCAGGAAGAGGCGATGGCGCGTTTGGGCGTGGAACGGAACACGGCCAGACGCGAGGGTTCACCTTCGGCCTTGTAAGTGTAGCGCTCCACGGCGCAGGACGGCGTCTTCAGTGGAAGGCAACCATCACCGTTGGCTAATGAAAGCGACCACGACGGCGCACCAACCGTGCGATGCTCGTTTACACCAATTCTGCAGAAAGTTAGAACATCAAAGTTACGAAAAGCGCTTCAAGCCACACAGAAATAACAAGAAAACAGTGATGCCGATGTTTTTGTGCGTAGGACTTTTCGCACGAGTACGATTTTCTTCGTTTGAACGACAACAACAACAACAACCATTGTATAAGCGCTAAGCAGGATCTGAGGTCTGGTAAAGAGCAACAATGAAAAAAAAACTCCAGTTTAGGAAAGTAAAGAAAACATGGGCCAGTCAACAAAAATTTCACATACTGAAACACTTGCCTAGTTTTTCACTCGTGCGAATGTTAATTGCCTAAGCGTTCCACCCACTGAACCAAGACAACGAAAACGACTGTGGTGTGCAGCCTTGTCGTGACGCAATTGCCAGACTTAAAGCACACGATACAGGTTAGACATCGCAGCGACAGAAGCAGTTATATTTTAGCCTCAAATGTCGAATGTTCCAGGACCGATCGTAGTTACGAGAGCGTGCAGTATGGCGCCGAAGTGATTATGAAAAGAAGCAGCCCGTTTATCGGAAGTTTGAACAGTGCGACGACGAGGGGGCTCGAGTTTATGAGTTAGACTCAGATCATGCTAAAGAGACATTTCTAATGACACAAATTTGTAGTCTCGCAAGTAACTTCAGAAATGAGCGGATACTCATAGTTGTACTCAGCGCTTTGAACACTTGCAAAATGTGTCAGACATGTGTCAAGAAAACCCCAAAATTACCTAGGGAAAACGCAGTTGGACCAGTTGGGTTTTACAGATTTATCAGCGATTCGATCAATAAATATTCGCATTCGAAAATATGGGAGCACCCTGTCGAGATTGAAAAAGGCACCCCGAGGGTAGATATTGGCAAATTTAGGTAACCACCAAGACGGCTAAAGGATATTAGTATAAGACGGTTCGATTTACAATTAGGACAAACTTAAGCTTGCCACAAACAATGCTTATTTGAACGGATTTATGGCATAGAAGCTGAATATAACGAGGCAACTAGAGAAGAAACGGTGCCGAAATCGTGAACACGTTGTGACTACTAGCAGAGTTCCAGAAAGTGGACAATCCCGGTACAAAAACCAGTATAACGCCCCTGCCTTCGAACAGCCAAAGCTTGCACAAAGTGTGGTCATGTAACTATTACCATTTCGGAACCTCCATAACGGAAAATATAGGGGCAAAAGTATGCCGGTAGACAGGTCAATCGGAGATGATTTAGACAATCTCAAACTGAACAGCAAAACCATAAGCAACCCATGGAAACGATGACATATTAAATCAAAGCACGAAAGACGTATTTAGCAAGCATAATCAATGGAAAAACATTAAAAGAGTTTATGAAACGACCACAGGAAATACTTCTAACCATATTTCTAAAAAAAGCTCACTTTTGGAATCTAGCGACGCAATGTGCTCGAGTATTTGAGTAGTCTTTGAAGATACGCAGATCAAACAGCTTGAGACACTAAAAGTTCTCTTGTCCATGGCATTAAGGAAATACTATCGTAAGATGCAATCAACGTGTGGTTTACCTCACATGCACATAGAGGAACACTATTCCGTCCACGCCGTGGTTTGCGTGTCACATAGGACAACTAAGAGCCCGTTCTAGGAGCACGTTGGCAGATTTTCGCAAGATAACAGGGAGATGGCCCATCACCACAGTTAGGACAACGGCAAAACTTGGAACGAAATTGTGTCCAATGCAGCAAAAAAGCATTAATACTCTGTGCAGACACCGATGTCTACAGTATAGACGGGTTCATATTAGCGAGTGAGCAGCCAAACCAGCATTGAAAACAGACTTCATAAAGTTTGATTAACGTCAATTATATAGACAGATACGGATAACAACCATTACGATTACCGTAAGCCAGTGACTAAAGAAATAAATCCGAATATTGTAGAGATGCAACTTCCTACAATCAAACAAACATCGGCTACTGTGAAAGGCTCCGGGACCTTATAGCAAGACCAAAAGTGAAATCATACTAAAAGACACACTAACCCAAGTCCGACGAAGTCCTGCCTACGGCAAAAACCCTCCTGGACGAATTGGCATCAAAAACGGGAAAAAAGCCGTAATGTTCGAATACCTGTACTATCATGTCGTAAAGGTTAATTAAAAGTGTCCTAATTATCAAACTGTTACAAGAAATCTCGTACGCATGATATGGTCCGCCGAAAATTACTTAAAGTACAGCGCCATCAATAAACAGCAGTTTTGAAAGTTTCAAAAGCAATTACAATTAACCAAATCCAACTACAAATACATTCATGTAGAAGCGGTAAATGGGGTTGACATCTATTAACAGAAATAACAGTTGACATCTAGATACTCACCAATATCAAACGTAGAAAAAGGGGAGGACTTCAATGGTATCAAAAAATTAAGATGTCAGACTCCAAAATGAGTAGTCAGGGGATAAAAACTAAGTCACGACAACCGACATCAATATTTTAAGTCAGTCTAAAATCACCTCAGCGAATCAGTTAATAATGAAGTCAATCCAAGCATAAAAATCAGCAGCACAATGAATAGAGTGATGGAGAGAAGATTGAGTAAGACCGGATAGTGTTGAGATGATTAAGCAACAATACTTGCGCGGAAAACACACTTTAGTGTGGTCGTATGATTTAAAAGTTGAAACTACATGATAACTGGTATAACAACGGCGAGATACGAATTTAAAGGTGAGAGAGGGACCGCTGACAAGGATTACGCGGGAAATTCCTGACTGCAGCACAACTCACACACAAAGACCTTAATATATACCGCAACGTGATCAGCAACACTGTCTTAGGTGAATACTAGCGACTACATGGAACAAGTGAAAAGTTTCGCAGCTGACCGAGTTTCAATATGTGAATAATTACCTTTCATTTTCAGAGAGCAGTACACCACGAAAAACCTTCCCCTCACCACAGAAGCTAACCGCTATCAAATTCGATGTGAAATGTTCTACAATAACGCCTAGTGATTGGCCTTTATGCAATACAAGAGGGTCAACGACACCCGACGCCATCTTAGGCGGCTATTTCGAAAGACGCTCTCTCAATTATATAATAATATTAACAAGAAGAATAAATCAATAGTTATAAAAGTAGTTTTTTATTTAGATTTGCAGAATAACAGCCAATAACATTGCTTAAGAAATCTATACATTTCAAAAAATTTTAATTAAGAATATTTTCCCGATTATGATTCCTTAAGCACAGTCCAATTCGACGAGAATTTCATAATGACTACTTAGCCAAGGTAAATATATTTAACAGCGTAATCATTGTATTTATGACTATTTATTTAATTATTACTGCGGTCTATCTTTTTGCCTTAAATTTGAAGTTAGGAAATGGCTGAATTTCGCTATTCATATTTTCTTAACTGAGCTAAATTAAAATTTTTCCATCATGCTTTACGCCGATTGTATTTTTTTTGCGATTTTGTACTTTTGTTAGTAGTTAAATTTCTTACACTTTCTGGTTTCCTAACTAACGACCTTTTAACGTCATCAAAAAGGTGCATTTATTTTTGCATACATACATGGTTAGGCATTATTATTTATAATTGTGAGCAAAACATCGAGTGAAATATTCGGTAACATTTAATTTATATGTGTGCAAAGCATCTTATTGTCTGCATTAAGCGCTTTAACGGGCAATCATCACTAGTTTAAGTTCGTTTTGAATATCAATATTTATATTAAGTATGGAGATTAAGACAACTGAAATCCTTTGTGGATAGTGATAGATGCTCAAAAACTTAACGTCGAACAGTCACCACCGCACACTATTGCATCTAAGTTGCAAATATGGTCCAGATTGTGGAATTTTTAGTCTGTTTGCTTCATTACAAATTGCAGAAAAATCGAATAACAATACAAGTCATTGCCTTTAAAAGTTTCAACTTTGAATAACCTAAAACTATTATTTAATGAATTTTTCTGATGGATCAAATAGGAAAACTCAAGCCTTTAATAGTGCCCACATTTAATTGCCAACTTGAATTAATTAGTAGATCTGAACTGTAAATCATGCTCATTTATTTATGCATGCTCTTCGTTGGAGATATGTTCCGGCGATCATCTAGTGGCTCATTTATCAAACATTAAATCCTCAATTTGCCTATATAATATTTCTTGTAAAACATAACATGGCAAAGTGATAAGTTGTTGGAAAAATTATAATTTTTTTGGGTACATACTTTGCGCTGTTTTAAATTGTGAGGATATTTTGGGTGATGCGAGGACCCAACATACTAATTCTTGTAACATTGTCTTTTTTTAAATTATGCCTGCACTACTGATATCGCAGAAATTTTGAAATGTAATTCACTTTTTTCATCTTCCTCCTTACCATGCTGTTTCTGAAGGCACCAAACGCACATCACTTATTAGTTGCCATTTTTTATTTAGGTGGAATCTGTTTACGGTACAGTAAAAAAAAGTGCGAACTTGCTGCTTTTGTCTGAAGTGTTTCTCTTTACATAAAGCGATTCTCAATGACTGTCAAACCTCATTTCTTGTTCATGGATTCGCGGCTCCAAGGAACTACCACTTAAACTAGCAATAAAGTTTATGCACCTCCTTGTAAACATTTTTGAGATTTACGATCCATCAAAATTTCGACAAAAGTGGTCTGCAACAAAATTTGATTTATCTTATTATAAATAGTCATGCAAAATAAACAGCTTGTTTAAATGTGTCAGGGCAAATCTTTCACGGAATTCTGGTTAGTTTTGTTAGTTCAATGTTGATAGTCTGAATTATAACTTTGTTTTGCTTAACCATGATTCAAATGGATGCAGTTCCGTCAAAAAATTTCGTGCAAAGGAAAAATGCACCTACACTTCTCCATGCACACTTGATTACATAAAAAGTAGCTTTGGTTTTATGCACCCTAAGTATAGACCGACAATTCTTTGTAAAGCAAACGCAGATTTTAGTAAAATTAATGTGATTCTGTATTCATACCATTGCTAAATTTCCTGAAAAACGGTCAGCTTAAAGACTTTATCAGCACAACCAAAGTAATTGATACAGCCCAACAGGTTATTGTGAAAAGTTGGCTGTGTATCATTGCAGAATTTTTCGACGGCTCGACTTCGAGTGGGTTTCTCGATTTTAGTCAAATGCAGAAGCGTTTTGATCCCCTCTCCTGCCACTTTATACACTCACACGATGAGTTTTATTGCCACAAGTCACGTTGAATCATCCCTTTATTTTGTCTTGTTATTTTAAAAGTGTGGCGCCGTGCGTTGTTCACTGACTATTTTGAGCAACTTAAATTTATGCAACAGAAAACAATGAGTGTGTTGTGAGTTTCGTAAACCTATGGCTATTGTTACAGCTCGTGCACCGTTGGTACCAACTTGTGCCCCCTATTTCTGAGAAATTATACATGAACATAACGCTGTGGCCTAATTCAGATGGCGTTCATCATGGACACTGCTCTTCCATTGGTCAACTTGTAACCGGCGCTCAGTAGGACTCGTAATTAAAACAACAGATAAATTAAGCCTAGCGTGGTAAACCTCAAACATCCATCACGCAAGAGGCATTTCAATGGGTTTAATTACCTAAATCTCCATAATCTATGTGTTTATAGTCCCTCTAGCCATCCGCCTGTGTACCTCCTCATTTTTCGAATTGATTTATTGCTTCTCCAACCAATCACACTGCAACGCATCTCTCTCATCACCATTTAAGTACTGTTTCAAAAAACTAGTGAACCCGAGCGGGTTCACGACGCATGGCTTTACGCAGGTTTGCAAATAACTCGTTTAAATACCATAAACTTCATTTCAGATTTTCAGCCTAATGAGGCGTTCATGACTTATACAGTACTGATGCCCACAGCGCCTCATTGCGTCATCGTTACTGTTCGTGAGAAAATGATTCCATGGTGTAAATTGAAACAGTCTGTTTCTGGGCTAACCAGCCACCATTCACATCGCCAATCTGCATCCCTATTGGCTTATTCGAGAGCACAAATGTTTACTAATTACCAAAGCGATGGTTAGGCCATTTGGCGCACACAATGGCTCGCGAATATATAAAAGTTCTCTGCTCTTGAGTACTGCACACACACACACTCTCACAATGGCAGACTACAAGAGCATTTTCTTCGCTATCGACAAGGAGAAAAACCGTAAGGCGGCTTTTTTTTTCATTTTTGACATTGACGGTTAAACCCAGTGTGCTGTAACTATGGTGCCAATCTTGTACTTTCAAATTTGAATTGCCCTTTAAAGACGTGGTCGCATGCAATGCTTTAGGAATTGAAGCAGAAGTATTAGTTGAACATGTCTATGGGCCTACGTTAGAGCTGGGTGCTTATGCCAAAAAAAAGAATGTTTCAGCCCTCGCTGTGTTGGCGTGAGCTATGTGCGATTTGACGCAAGTAATGAAACTCAAATCTCAAGCCACTGTTGGCTTTCTCTTTAACTGCTCTCATGAATTCCACTTTGAGAGAGCACACATGTACATAAATCAGTTGCTTGTTGAGTGCGCCAACAGACAATATTCAAGTGGTTTCGGGTAGAACAATGAAGACGGGTGTTACAACGACAGATTAATGTGTGCTACCAGTTCTAAGCTGAATCTAGATTACATTTCATGATCGATAATCAATCTCGGAACAACATATCTCCATTTCGGAATGCCAAATCCTCATGACCCCACATCACAGATAACGTTTGAATGCAGGCTACGAGGTAGAGAAGTCATCGAAAAAATTGCGCGCATTTCCCAGCGTGTTGAATTGCTCATCCACTAAGTCGAGACGCTGCGTTGATCGGATCAAGTGGTAGTCGAATGAGGCCAAGTTTTGTGCGATGAAGGAACAACGTGAATTCGGGTGATGTCATACAGCAACCACATGACTTGTCGGCTTCCTTGCCCAGCAAATGGCCTAATTCTAATTACGCTCTTCACTCCGTTTGTTCGATTTTCAGCTGTAGCGTTGCGCTGTCCCTGTCTGACGGCCAGTTTCCTGGCTTTCGTCATAAACCACTTCCAGAAGAAGAACCTCCTTCAAGTGGAGGTCCACTTTCGGCGTCGATGTACTGGGCTGCTTGTGATTCACCCACGGCTTTACGCTTTGCGTTTGGGATTCTCGTACAAATTGTACTTTTCATAACTCGCCACAATTTTCCACAAGAAGTCCATTCACTGCTTGTTGCCGGTGGCCAAGCAGTGAAAGGCATGTGTTCGGACGTTGACCTTGGTTGTGTGCGGTCAGCACATTTGGGAGAACCAACTTCCGAGGTTTCGCATTTAACTCATTTGGTATCGAAGGCTCTTGTTGTGTTTGCGTTGAGTCTTCATGGAGCAGCTTGTCACTAAGAACACTAAAATTTAATTTCCGTACTTGTTCCCTGTTGTTTGAATTCGAATAAAGTGCAATGCCGTCGAATGTGGTGTTCAGCAGCTGCCACCGTAAACTCTGATATCATGAGGGGTAATATGACTCAAAAATATCTCGCTTTTAAATGCGATTTTAAGCTCGACGAAAACTCGGTACCGATTATGTCAGGCGCCAAATAATTTAGCGATTCGTACCGCCAGGAGTCTAACTAGCGAAAGGGACATTATCGTCTAGGATTCAGCTGTGGGTCACGAAAATTTTCCTACAGGAAACCTTTCAACCACCTGCACAAGTACTGAGGCAGGCGAGTGATTTTAACAACTGCAAACGTCAGATTAAAGTGCGACTAATTTAAGAGCTCAATCGCGTGAATCGTGTGTCAATGCAATGTAAGCTAAAGCCCAATTGGACAATTGTTTGACCCCATCGCGCTAAAATTTCGCCTTTAGATTACATTACGATCAAGGACCTGGAACAATACGTAAAGGACAACCGAATGAATCAAACAGTCGTTCAGGTGAGTTTGCTCCCTCCTACTCGTACATTGGCATAGTTATAAGTAGTATAATTAGCATACTTTTATTAGCCTCCGTCACATGTGTAATACGTTTCCTACTTTTAGAGGTGGATTCGACTCTTTGACCCCAAGGGAACGGGCAAAATAACGCTAGAAAGCTTTTGTGAAACACTGGGTGAAGACGTTGACGAAATGTGAGTGCTGATTTTCTCACTTCGAAATGAGACACCCAAGTACTACTCTGGCTGAGGTCCCTTTTACAATTTAGCACCAAACTCAGACAATGTACGCATTCCTTCCAAGCAATATTTTCATTGGAGCATTACCTGTTTTGAGAGATATCTTGTAGGTCATTACCAAGTCCAGCGTCCAATGCCTTCACGATAGATTAACCTGGAATTCAGAAGCCCAGATAGTCTAAATTTAAGAAGAAATAAAACATCAACAAGAATTCAGAAGGCTGTCACCAATTAGTTTTTAATAATTTGAAGTCCTCCTGGATGCTAAAGTATTGATTAGAAAATCGAAATTCGCGTCTTCTTTGTGGCATGGATCCTGGAATTGTCAGGTTTGTAGCGATCAGCTTTCGAAATCAATCGATAAATTTGAACGCACGCCGTGTAGCGAAATTCGCTCAAAGACCAATGTCAAGCGTTTCCATTACAGCTGACTCCATTTCACGTTAAACATCTGCTCTCTTGATAACGCATCCGTCGTTTCTGTATTACTAGCCACTGCCATGTTCTGTTTTACAGGCTGAAACAGTACCCACCGACAAATGTTCAGCAGATTCGGCTGATTGATCGAGAAATGTCGGAGCGAATGATGGAGAACCTGCTGAACCAGACTCGCCTGGCTGTCCGCGAACACCCTGGTGACCTCCGAGTGAGATCATTTAACTTGTCATGACTGTTAAGCAGAAACAAGTCACACAAAAACACGCGTAAAACATCCTTATTGCTCTCTAGAATCATCAGGAACCTTGCCAGACTGCGAATTAGCACCGCAGATCGATGCTTGAGGTGCCAAAGGATTCGAATATAACTCGATTCCACAATTGAAATATGTTTGTCGAACTACAGGGCATATCATGTTACTGTCTAGTGTCGCTGTCCTATATGGGGTTCATTTTGAGCTCATTCGGTGAAACCTACGAACAGAACGCACAGTACATTAGAAGCCAGACACGACCGACGCCAGTAGAGGGTACAAAGTCAGTGTTATCAATTTCCCATTGCATTAGCAAGAGAAATTGTCGAAGTTATTGAGAAGGTGCTTGCTTCAGAGGCACCTAGGGTCGAGAGTTCGGTTCACGGATTCTGTCAAGTTAGTCAACACTGTCAAAAAATTCCTGGCTCTGAATGTCAGGTCAATCTTGTTTGAAACACCAAGCCTCTGATTCCGCCACTTAGTTTAATGAATCTGTGTACTTTAAGTTGCCATTTTGGATGTACTTTTATCTGCTACTCCCACCCCTCTCCCAGGCACAGGCAGCCACCATCAAGGCATATGCGGATAGACGCTACGGCGACTCGTGGCACTGCTTCATCGTGAACGGTTCGCACGGTTACTTCTACTCACACAAGCCGAATCATTCAATATCGTTCTACTTCAGCGACAACTACTACTTCATATTCTGCACCCCACTCAACTGAGCACTAGCAAATACACTGTAGGACGTGATTACCGATACATTTAGTATGAATAAACAATTCTACACAATCACGGTGTTGTCTTTTGAGTGTGCCAAAAGGACTGCACTTGAGACGCAGTTGTGTGAATAGCCAAGGACATGATGATGCTCTGCCTGGAATGCATTTTTGGTAACCTGCGTTTATTGGTCAGTAAAAGCCCCTTAACAGGGTTTGCTGCATCCTTATTGGTTGATCACGTTTTGCCTACTCACGGAAGGCCACCTTAGTTTGTTCTATCACTAGGTTGATAGATTATTGATTGTTTGTTGTTGGCTATGCATTCCTTGTTTTTGCTATTATTCAGTGACTAACCAAAAGTTTTACGTTCACCGAAAATCATTGTTTTACTGAATTTGAGACGCCATTGAAAATCAATATGTTTTCATTTTTTTGTGAAACTTGATTTGATCAACAAAACAAACCACATTTCCATCATGGTAGCAATGAAATCTATTCTCTGTTAATGGAGAGGAAATGAGAGTATAATACGTAACCAACATCAACCAACAAGCAGGACTTCTTCTTAACGTTGAGTGAATCGGAAGAATTCCTATTTCATTTGTTTATCAAAATTTCCACTGTAGTTTGCACATTTTTACATGTTAAAAAACGCAAGCTTTAACACGTGTTTATTTACGAATCCGCTGATAAGAATGGATGATAATTTGTCATGTTATTATTGAGCATTTAACACCTGCTCAAGAGGTATTGAGTCGTGTCTTCGTTATCGATTGCCAGAAAGGAGCCAACCACAAACCGCTTAAGGTCATCTAAAATTGAGTTAATATCTAAGGTTGGTGATGCGTTTTGCGCCAGATAAGTTATAAATTGGAATTGTTAATTTCTAGCAAATCTGACATGGTCTTAAGGACGTATGTTTTTTATCAGAGAAAACCACAAACGATGCGTCTTTGTGGATGCCAGAAATCCTTAGGTGACCGCGACCACAACACATATTCATGAAAATAATGGCATTTATCCATCAATACTGTACTCACCGCCATCTCCCATTGATGATTATTAAAGCTTTGTGAGTTTTCGAATTCATTCCTTATCGAAACTTGTGATTTTACGTCAGTGAAAGCCATAAGGCAGTCTTGAATTTTCTCATGAAAGCGATTTTTTGTCATCTAAGTGATTTTAGAGGATGAAACAGATAAAGGCGTGGAAGGGTAAGGTCAGGGAAATGCGAAGTGTTCTGCTAAAGAATTTCCCCACCTAAACTCCCTCCCCCTCACTGTTTAGCAACATGTGGTCCAGCGTTGTCATGGTTAAGGATGTTACCGAATCTGGACGTTTTGATTGGATTTCGATACGGAGTTGGGTGAATTACTCGCAGTAATCCTCTGCAATTATTGGTTGATTGCGAAGGTGAAGGTTGTGTTCCTCTGCGGTCCCACCAGGGCATTTCTACTGGCTCCAGCAATTCAGCCTTTGCCGTAGATTCTGCACTTTTATTTTCGCGCCTCCAGATCGTTTTTCTTGCATTGTTGCTCCACACAGGTCAATATGACTTTATTCGAGTTGAATTTTATCGATAATCGATGAGGTAAATGACGGTCTGTTCCGTCCCATCAAAAAGCACGGACGCCAAATACGGTATTTCGAAGTGCGCCTGATTTGCCTTAAATGCCAAAAAGGCCAAATTTAGTCTCTCAACAATCGCTTTAGTGATAACCCTTGGCGCGGTTATTCAACAGATCACGGATAAAGCCATAACCAATGTAGGAAGGCCTTTAGATGCAAGCCAACTTAACCGCTGTTCAGTTATTCCAAGGACACGGCTCACTACCCAAAATAATTCTGATGTAGTTGCATTAGTCATCCCACTCCAAACTCGCGCAGTGTGACGAAAATGCAGCTTTTTACTCCCGATTTTGGCTGTTTACTTGGCAATTTTGACAATATTTCACACATACCTGCCATCAATTCAATCATCAAGCCTCTTTCGCCATTCATTCGTTCAGTATTTTAATACAGCGAAGCACTTTTGCGTGTGTAGCATGAAGCTAGTCCTTTGCTGCACTGAAACGATAAAGTTCCTTCTATCTTTTAAAAAAACTGACTGAAAAGTCAAAATCGTTTTGTTTTTCTGTCACCGGCATTACCTACAGACGCATGTGTACCGGTAATGAGTCATGGGGACTCACCCCCACATCGTTTTCACATACTGACCAGTCAACCCCCTTCTCATCATCCATGCTTCTGACAGTGTGCTGGACCTCCCCTGCGTCTTGTGACTTGATGCCTGTATACTCACTGGCTTATCAGAATTCTATTGGTTGAGAGTAGCCAGCTTTAAAATGCGCCTCATCTGCACGGCGGCAATTCACATGACTGTACTATCGAGTAAACACTTCTTTCACAGTTGAAATGGTCTACTGTGTGGTTCGAGACTCATCCCCAGGCCACAGCACACACCCCGTAATTCAGCTACTCTGCAAAATCAACGAATGGCCCTGTTTTGAGGGTGAAATGTGCTCGATTTCTGGCGTTTTTGAGATTATGCAAAACAGGCGGACCAATCACAAGCTTATCTCAAGGTTGATGGGAGCACCGGCCAGTGCCGTGTGGTTGAAAAGAAATTAAACTTGTACCCATGTGGGCACAACTCATCCTACACCTTGACAACTCAACACCATCGATTCAGACTTGAAGTCGAAGCGTGTGATGCTCCCGGAGTTATGGATTTATTTGGTCCAAAACAACCTAGCCATTCCAGTTTGTGCAAGTAAACTTGCGATTTTTGCTGGTTATAGCAATAGTGCTAGCTCTGTTTAAAAAATAACCTCACGGTTAAACTTGGTCGAATGTGGCTGGACATAGACAAGGTGCTTTGAATCCACAAAATTGCAATGTGCAATACCGGCATAAAGTGGATGACACACTTGTTCAGTTTGAGGCTCCTAGAGGTAACTGTTTTCCTGTTTTTTCTGTCTACTGGGTTCTTGTTTTAATCTATCCATTTCAAGGTGTGCGCGCTACACAAATATGAATACTTAAAGACATTTTATGTGACCATCCAAATGCAGACAAAACAAGGATTTTACTTAGAAAAGTTGATTTATGAGAAAAAACGGCTACTCAGAAGCACCGTGTTCACCGTTCGCAGATTTGAACAGAATGAAAGCGAGATCGCCAAAGCGGAAGCACATATTCGTGCCCGGAACATGTGCGTTGCACGTGGTGTAGGCCCCACGAATCATGGTGCACTGCCATATCGGTCCGAATCGCTTATCCAGGCGGATTTTCAGCTGCTCAACCAATTGCTGTGGCAGAAAATTACAATTAAAATTAAATTAAAAGGGACAACTAACATGCAAATAATTTGGACCTAATTAACACCACTGGTGTGAAGAACATTTACATCAGCGGCATCCACTGTAATCGTACAACAGTTACTAAGTTTCTGGTTAATAATAAATGCGAAATTTCTCAAGCAGCGCCTAACGCGTTTCGATTGACTTACAGTTGACAGGATTTCTTCAGAGGCAAGTAATCAAGGCACTTACCCATATAATAAACTAGATATCGTTCTACTATAGTGTTGTGAGATTTAAACACAAGCCATCTGACGATCCGATTATGCCATATCGTATTCACTAACTATTGTTTTATCAAGTCCAATACTAAAGACATCGATTTTGGATACAGAAAGATCTAGCCATGATCGCATCACGTACCTGGCTACTCGACGCGTACAGCCTCATGACTCGAATCAATATGTTGATGATCTCCTTCTGCATCTCCTCCGACGCATCGCCGGCGATCAGCTGAACCTTTTTGTAGGCCTCAAGTTGGCTTGTGCTAACTTTCCTTAAGCTTAACAAGACACATTAAACATGAAAAACATGCTGCCAAATCTCATTGGTAAATGGCGTCTGACCCAACACTCTGATTGGTTCCTACTGTGTAAGGCCAATCAAGTGTCTCTGGACAACTTAAGAGATATTGGCTGCTTGAACAAGACTTCGGTACATATTCAAGACTTACACTTGTTCCGGTTTCAAACCCATGCCTAGGAGGAACTCGGTAATGTCGATTTCGCCATTTCCCTCCGAATCAAACATTGCTAGCCAACGCTGCAAAAATAATAACAAAATCCACTTATCCCTTGGCTTATACATGGCTAGTTAAGTAAATGCCCTGCAAAATTAAATCTCAAAAATAGACTTTCTACTTAAACTATAAATGTAGCAAGTGTGATCCGTTTGAACTTACGTCGGCAAATGAGGGGTCAAGCTTCTTCTTCTGTGCATACGCATCCAATGCTTTGCGAGTAATCTTTTCTACAACCAGGACAAAAGTAAGGAACAATTGGGGTTGTTAGCTACGTCAAAACCTCAAAAACACAAATAAGGGGTTTTCATTAACCTCAAGAGTGACAGTTTCTGCAAACTGCAATCAACACACAAACTGCTTGAACAGTATTTCAAAAGAAGGATAGAAAGAATCGGTAGTAGAACGAGATATCGACAAATAAGGATCTGGATCTCTGTCGGTGAAAAAATTTACTACTGAGGAATTACTGCAAGATTTGAGAGTGTAAAAATCTACGATACAACAGCATTTACAAAGATAAAAGAAATTACAGTGGGCCTTAACTAAGACTTGAGGAGACGGGCATGACATGAGGTCGTTTAGTCGTAAGCAGCCCTTCACCGTGATAAGACTTGGCGTCTAGGTAATGCAATCACCTCCCAATCAATTGGTCCCCAAGCTGACCTCGAAAGTTCTCTGGAAGTGCGGAGACTGACTACCTGACGCCCAATTAACTGCAGCCTTTTGAAGGCATAACACATTGCTGTACGCCACGCCTTTGCTTAGGACAGTCAAACAACTTCAACAAATATTCACAATAACCTCGGTTACTTGAAGGCCTGATCTCATCTATTCACACAATGCTCCAGCCAGCGTGGACACACGTCAGTATATTCAGCAGATTTTAGGAATTGCGTCGAAAAGATCACCCTACCACCTCGCTGTTTCTCACTCCTATTCAGGTACTCGAGGCATTTTACCTCATGTCTTGACCAATCAAACACGGGCTACGGTCACGCAGACGAAATCATTGTATTACATGTCGACTTCTCGATGATTAGCTCACCTCACACACACGAATTCACCACACTGAGGCCTATCTTCACACTTCATGGACGCAACAACAGGCCACCTGACAAAGGACCTCGCGTCGATGCTCGTGTCCAAGTGAGTGAGTCAACAGCACCAAAACATTCATTGAGCAATCGTTGGATCCACCCAAGACGGTCTCGTTCAAACCACACGTGCTGTTCAATTCTTGTTCGCTTCGCCTATCGATTCGCCTTCTCATTGGCTCACCTGGTGGTGCTCCCAGGTTCTCGCATCAATATAACGAGTGTGGAGCACAGGAAAGTGACAATTTGTCAGCTCACAGGCATGCTGCAGTCCCGATACAAGTTGAGGGATTGTG